GCAGACTGGCCGGTGAAGGATGCTGGGATAGTTCTGCGCTAGAGCGGCTCGTAGAGGAACCGTGTGGCTGGTGCGGCTGGCGAGTAGATGGCGCTGATCCAAGTTGGTGGTCTTCTCAATGGGACGTCGCTTTCCGTGCAGATACAGTGCAGATACATCGGAATCCGGCCTCAGGGGGGTTTGCTCAGGCCACAGTTCGTCTCAGCTGGTGCTCGGGTCGTTAGTTCCCAGACGATAGGGGCTCCCATGTCCATCATGTGGGGCAATTTCTTCAGTGTCACCATCACCGCTTCGCGATGCGGAATATGCTGTACGTCAAACAGGGGAATCAATGTCACTGCAGCAAATTGGTGTGGCTCAAAATCAATCAGCCGTGGTTACGCAGGTTTTAGTCATTGTTTCCATATGCCAAGGTGCCATTTTGGGTACCTTTTTTTGAGCCACACCCAAATGAAGGGACACCTGTCCCAAGGAGACCCCGTACCTTCCCACTGAAAAAACATAGAAGTGCACGGGCCCTTGTCGCTCACGGGGCGCGTGCACTTCCACGTTGGCTAGTGGCAGGGAGGTTCGCTGCATCTCAGTTGGGGCAGAAGATCGGGGAGTGCCAGGCACTTGCAAGAGACCTCGGTGCTGGCGCTCTTCTTCCTAATAGGCTGGATGCATGTTGCAGGGGAGTCAGTGGGTGGCAATGGCTCTCTTTTGGGGCGGGTTTCACTTGAACATTAGCGAAACTTCCATTTTGCTCAAGACTATGTTTCATTTTCCCTTGTTGGTTTTAAAGTGAATCTATCACTACTGTTCTTTTTTCCCAGGGGGCTGAAGCAAATGGAAGAACCGGACGATGCTTTTTCCCACCAGCAAAAGCTGTGGGGTGAGAATCCTTGGTTTGCAGGGGCTGGAGGGTGGGCCATGAGAAGGTAGGCTTCCTCTTGGTCGTGAGGAAGCCAGGACATGAGGGAGCCACCCAAGCCTCCAACCCACTTCTTGGCAAAGCTGATGTCGGGAACTCCCGCATGAGCACACCAGCCGTGAGAGAGCCCACTCATCTACTTCTCTACACATGTACTTTGGGGTGCCATGAACACTTAGAGTATATGTTGCAGCCTGGAACCCCCAAAACAACAAAAAACCCTAAAAGAAGGAGGTTGCAAACTGGACCTTAAGTGCGGGGGGGGGGCAGGCCGAGTGCGCCTCCTGCATCGATTGGATTACAGCAAGTGGCCTGGTGCTAACCCCGCTTCCCCTCCCCCTCTCCCCTTCCCCTCCTCCCCTTCCCCACTCCCCCTCTCCTCCCCCTCCCTCCCCCTCTCCCCCTCCCTTCCCCCTCCCCTCCCCCTCCCTTCCCCCTCTCCCCCCCCGGCACCCCTTCCCCAAAGCCGATCGATCCGGGCTCAGACCGGAGGCCTGGGCTGGAAGATCACGCGGTCCCAGCTGAGGGGCTCCGAGTGGGCCTTCGGCTCGGCGGCGCTGGCGGTGAGCTTGCTGCTGCGCGGCATGGAGGCGCCGGGGCGGAGCAGGGGGGGTTGCGGGGTGCGTGGAGGAAGGGGGGGGCGGGTTGTGGCGGGTTGTGGGGGGTTGTTGGGGGGTGGGTTGGGGGGGATTGGGGGGGGGTTGGGTGGGGTTGGCGGGGCTTGGGGTTACCACTGTTGGTTCCAAACAGTGGTTCAAAGGTGGCAGCCTTCAGAAACCAATGAGAGCTTTTTTGGTTAAACGATAGTTGTCATAACATGTACTCCGTTTTGGAAGGTTTTCTTGGCCGCTACGCTCGGCAGTGGTTAATTTGGAGGGGAAGGGGAAACATCCCGGTGGGGGGAGGGGTCCATATCATCAAGGCGCCCAAGCAAGCTGCCAGTGGAAAATCAGTGCTCCTCTTAGGCTGCCACAGTGCTCCTGAAATACGGAGCTCAATGGATAGAGATCCGATATGGACTCATCAGGGGTGGCTCGTCTTTTTGTGGAGTTGGTGCCCTTTTTGGGTTGATTTATATAAGGGAGGACCAAAAGGAAGCCCGAAATCCATTGTGGGGGGTCCCAAAAAAAGACACACACCCTTGTGATTCTCGCTTTGGACTGCAGCGGAGGGTCTCCTCAGAGATTGAAACGATCGGCCAGGGATCAGCACGGCTCGCAGGAATTGCAGTTTTTTTTTTGTCAGACACTTCTCCCCCTTTGCTTCCATTTGCTTGATATTTTTTGTTTATTTATTTCCCCGCTTAGTTTTAAAGGGAATCTATCACTACTGGAAATTTTTGTATCTTTTTCAGGGGCTTAAGCAAATGGATTTGCGTTGACTTCTTGTTTCCGGGGCAGTCTTTTTTTAGGTATAGCATGCTGGAGGTGGAACAGAGATGAAGAGTATTATTCGTGAGTGATGCAGCCAAGATGGCAGGCGAAGACATAGCCGCAGCTCTCACCATCTTTCTATTTTTTCGTTCACCATGCAGCTAGTGAACAAGTGAAGGACATGAGAAATGAACAGATGCGACCATGTCCTTCGTCGCTATCTTCTGAAGGAATGGCCTTCATCCCCTGGGATTCTTCCAGAGTAATCACCCCCAAAATGGGCTTCGGTTTCCTTTTGGTTTCCCTTTAAACCAACCCCCAAAAGGGTACCCTAAACAAAGACACACCCATTTGAGCCACAATCAAAACCCGGGTAGATGGAGGTTAGTAAGGGACAATCCCAACCATAAATAGTTGCGGCCGCCTTCTTAATCCTGTACATGGTTCTGGGTAGACCATTTTAATACCAGGTTTTGATTATAACTCATTTGATGAACAGGTGGCATCTCTTTCTCATCTCTAGCTGTTGCAGCTCGCTTCGCCCGATGAGAGAGATGAGAGATAGAGCCATGTGGCCATGAATTTAAATAAGGAACCGCCTGAAAAGTGGTTGGTGGACATGAATCAGCTCCGAAATGATGTCCACCAGAGGGTCCCTAATTAAAATTATTGGCCATGTTTTCAATTTTCATTCATTTTCCATTCTACGCTGGTGAAAAACGTGAGCATCCTTCTCTTCTTTCCCTTTCTCGTCTAAGACTCGCGACCGAAGGGAGAGAGTATGAAGACAAAGGCCATGACCTCAAATATGTTTGATTATATCACTTTCCTTTTGTCTACAATTGAATATCTCACATTTTTTTTAAAAAAAGAAGTAACCATCATATATTTGATGTACATGCCATTGGTTTCCACCCTTCCATGTTGCCGGTTTCTTGCCATCCCGGGCCCCTCCGCCCTCCCGCGCCGGGCGTCAGACGAGTCAGGTGCTGTGCAGCGCCCTGAAGGTCTGCAGCCCGCAGCGCTACATGCTGACGCTGCCCCGGCCCCGGGCGGCGGAACCGAATCGGCGAAGTGGGACGAAACATGGGACCCGTGAAATTCCCCACCAGGGGCCGTACTAATGTCTTCCATTTGCTTAAGTTTTTTTTCCTGTTTTTTTTCTCTCGTTGTTTCCCCCCCTTGTTGGTTTTAAAGGGAATCTATCACTACTGTTTTTTTTCTTTTTTCTTTTTTCTCCGGGAGGCTTAAACAAATGGAAGATAACTTCGAGGAGATTCCTGGAGACCTTCGTGTATGGTTCATTTGCCTTTTTTGTGATTGGAATACTAGCTACCACCGCCCTCCCCCTCAAGGTAGGGGGGCTGGGTGAAGAGCCAGAAAAAGGGGGGGGTGCCAAACCAGGCGATGTGAACATTTGGAGCCCATGGTTCCAAATTGGAGCTGTAGGGTCTTGACAGGCCGCGAGCAACTGTGCGGGGGAACTTGATCTTGTGAGCATTTTATCGCCCCCAAGATCGCTTACACGCCCATGCGGGATTGTGCACTTAAGAATTTGATCCCATGCCAGGATCGCTTCCCAATTTCGAAATTCCATTGTAGTTGTGTGGATGGAATTGAAGAAATGAGCTTTTGCATCACTGGAGTTTTCAATGGCACCTGGGGGTGTGCCCATTAGGAGAAGCCCCCCTGTGGGTTCGGTACTGCACGAGCAACCCAGAAAGGCGGCCATAAGGCTCTAGTCATGTAGAGGCACTGTCACACAGGCAAATTTGCAAATTTTGACACCTTTTTCAAAGCGGGTTGATTTTTGTTGGATCGGGCGGAGGTTCACGGTGAACTCCCTGTGCTCCTTGGTGGTCATCGTGTCCACAAACTTCAACATCTTTCTGCTGAGCCGGCAGCTGATCGAGGCCAACGCCTCGCAGGAGGCGCAAAACATCGAGAGACATGCTTCCATGTTTTTTCTCGCCTTGTTGGTTTTAAAGGGAGTCTATCACTACTGGAAATATGTTTGTTTTTCCCGCTTTTCTAAACATCATTATTTTTCACAAACCGGATCTGTTTCCCCTGGGTTTTGGGATGGTCTCCTGAAGAAAAAAACACCGGATCCCTAAGAATGGGGAAGGTACCAGGACTCGGTTCCCTTGGCGCGCCCAGGGGCTCGTTAGTTGGGGGTCCTAAAGACCCAAGGGGCGAATCAAAAATCCGACCTCCTTCCAAGTGAACGCTGTCTTTGTTGACCAAGTAGCTCCCCCCTTTTTTTTTCCGGGGTCCTTGTTTTGTTTTCCACTCACCAGGCAAAAAAGGTACATTTTTTTGCAGGGGTCCGATTTTTCCAGCCTAGTTTGTTGACCCAACTGGAGAATTGTTCTCTTGGAATACTTGAGAAGCCCAATGGCAAGGCTTGTTCCAGTGCGCATAGACAAGCCAAGTGCATGGGGCGATCGCGCTTTGACGCCAACCCGGGACCCTCAGTGCGCCAGGCTGGCGTTCTTTATGCAAAGCTCCAGGCCGGGTCAGGGATGGAATCGTATAAAAGCCCACCGCGTGGAATTGGCAAACCGCTGTTTTCACCATGGACATGTTGAGAGTCGATTGCATTGTAATAAGCGCAAGTTTATGCCTGAGGTAGATGCTGCCTGCTGTGTTGGGCTCCGCGCCAAAGCAAAAAAGCGCCCCACCCGCCCACCTCGCTTGGCCTTTCATGTGAGCCACGATCAGAACCCGGGTAGATGAAGGTAAGTAAGGGGCAGTCCCAGCCGGAAATAGTTGCGGCCGTCTTTCTAGTTCTTGAAGCATGGTTTTGGGTTCACTATTTTTGTACCAGGTTTGGATTGTGACTCATGTGGTGACTTGCCTGAGGCCTACATCACTTTCCGCGTTTGCTTCCTGTACTTTGTCATGATCCCCGTCATTTGTGGCACGGTGGGCCCGGCTCGAATTGCAGCCAGCGGGATGGGGGGGAATCTTCGAAAAGCCTCTGACGGTTCCTTTTGGGAAGTGACGTTTGGCTGGCTGGCTCTCACAATCACTCAGTTGTTCAGTGGCACCATTTCTTTTTCCCCTTTTTGTTTGGTGGCTGCCTTTTTTTTCCAGGGTCACTGAACAACTGAGATCATTGCCCCCGACTTCGTTTTGCAGCTGACCCACGTGAACCGCTTGCCTACTCCGGTCATTTTGACCCGGCGAAGGAAACCAGGACTAGAGGAGCAAGGCGAAAGAATCGGAATGTCAAAATCCCCTGCGGACTGCTGGATGATTTGGCCACCAACCACAGTGAATTCAACAGTTAGAGCAGATCACCTCACGTGGGGCCAGCCCAAGTGGTAAGTGTCAATCGACGGATGACTTGGCCACGCTCCAAAGTTGCAAGTGTCTTGTAATCACCAATCCAGCCAGACTCCGTTACTCTGATCCACATGTTTCCTGGACAGGTCCCGTTTCGGCCGTCCAAGGACTTCTTGTTTTCCCAATCAAGTCATGTGGGCGGCTCGTCTTTTTTGTGGGTTGGACTGTGGACGCCCCAAAATGGCTTAATGGTTTTCCTTCTAAAACCACAAAAGAAAGGGAGTGCCAACTCAAAACACAGGCAGAACCCCTCCCCCCTCCTCCCGTCCCCCCCTCCCCGGGTCCCACCCACCCAGGCCCATGTGTACGCATGAAAAGGCGCACTCGGCATCGTTTACTGGATTCCTGCAAGAGTTGGTAGTTTATTTGCCACTTTTGGAGGTCCGAAAAGGGGAAAAATGGAAGGAGTCCTGCACAAGGGTGGCCAAAAATTGGAAGTGGTTCCTTTCCCACTCGCAACTAGCTGGTTTACCTGGTTTACCTGGTGGTTCAATCATCTACCAGGGACGTCTATTTGCCCTAAAAGGACACCTATGAACAAAACCCCCTCTCCCTATCCCCCCCTCCCCACCCACCCCAGACCCATGTGTAGCCCTGTCCACCTTTGCAAAGCCGCACTCGGCGCACTCGGCCTCTCGCTTTGGCTCCCAGGCTCTGCGGATCATCAGCTGGCGTTCCATGTGGATGGTGAAGGACGGTGGTTGTTGCCCCCGACAGATCCAAAAAGCTGAAGGTTTCTGGGGGCCTTCGGAAGCCTTGACTCGGAGCTTGCTTTTGGGTTTTCTTAGGAGGGAGCCACCACAAGTTTGGTGGACAAAAGTAGAACAACACCAAGCATGGACAGGAGTCAATGAACCACAGCAAGGACTGGCACCTAGTTCGGCTCTTGTGGCGTGAAGGTGGCTGAGACAACTTGGCATAGGGCTACTCGTCCCCAAGGGGCGACGAGGTCTCCGCCTCCCCAACCCCCCAAAGGTCAAATTGGCACCTGACAGGCCCCTTGAACACGGACCTGGTCCCTCGGGTTCCATGCGTTTGTTTTTGAGTTGGTACCCCCTTCCTTTTTTTCGGGTTTCAAAGGGAACCCCACAGGACAACCATCACGAGCCACTTTCAGGGGTCAAGAGTTAGAGAACGACGGGCCGCCCAACTGTCGATGTGGACACTCCCCAAGCTCGCGCTTCAGGAGACTCTGGAGTGGTGCGTGCTCTCAGTCGTGCTGTGGCTCTGGCGCCCGGGTTACATGAAGGCCCCTCTCCGACAAGTGAATGGGGTTGTCTCAGCTTTGGTGCGTTTTGCTTGGATGTTAGGACTTCAACTTTTTGCCAACCAATGGGTTTTCCATTAAACCACTAACTAACACTTAAACTTTTAGCAGGGGGGCAGAAAGCAACCGAGTCAGGACCCATTTCAGCTGTTTTGGGGTTTCCTTGTGTTCATCATCATTGCTCAGACTTGGTGGCACCTTCGTGTTTTTAAGTGAGGCAGTCTTAAGGGGGTTAGCCAGCAGCCAACAAGCAAGGTTAAGCAACGTAATCTCGCTGGGTTCCTGCTTACAAATGACAAACAAGGTTGTCCTTGCGAGCACCAACTGCCACGTTTCTTTGGAAGAACATGGTGTAATAATACCTTTGTACAAATTATGTATAAACATTATAGAAAATACATATATATATATATAGGTTCACATGCGTGAGCCCTTGTCATCTAATCTTCCGCGTCTGACAACTCGAGTTGAATCCCAACCCTTCTCTTTGCTTTGGAGGCTGGAAGCGTTCTGTTCCGTCGTTGCGGTCTTTGCGGGTGTGTCTTTTCATGGGATTGGGTTAAAGGGAAACCAAACTGACATCCACCCATTTTGAGGGGTACCCTATTCTAAGACAGACCCATATAATATCTGCCGAAGGACGCTTGGTGTAGGTGTCCTTTTTGGCTTGCTTAAGAACTAGGTTGGTAAACGGTTTGTTCCATGTACCAGGGAAACCCTCCTTTTTTCGCCCCAAAGGCCACCTATGCGTCGGCCGCCTGGCTCCTTATGGGACTCGCGGGGGATTCGAAACGAGAGGCGGTCCGCGTCTTCCAGCTGTCCGCTGCCCCGCCCAGCGAGAGCGAGGCCGAGTCCGTAGAGGCGTTGGGATCGGGGCCGAGGGGCTGGAGCTGGGGAGCTCCGCCTTAAGTCTTCTAATGTAAGCCCACGGCAAGAGGAGTATCCCGGAATCCCTTCATCTCCCCGGGTTTTGATTGTGGCTCACCTGGTAAAGGCAACCCTCTCGCACAGTACACGTCCACATGGCGGTAAATGGTAGATAAGGAGCTCGGAATGCCTCTAGCTCCTCCAATAGAGAGGTTGGAAATAAGGGTATACCAACTTTTATCTGTAGTCTATTGTAGTAGGGGAACCCTCCCCCTCCCAACCAAAAAAGGACCACTGGCGGACCTAGTGTTGACCCAGGATCTAAGTAGAACCCGTCCCATTCATAAGGGGGTGGAAACCCCTCCAAAAGTGGTCTGAATCCAACCACTAAAAGGAATTGGACACCCCCCGATCAAAATCAACCAGGGGTTCTGCTTAATCCAGGGCTAACATTACCCCAAACAACCTCCTAGGAGACCAAACTAAACCAAACCTGAATATGGGATTGTAGGAGCCGTTGTTTGATCCGTCAATAGCTCACTGCGGATATTTCCGCCTTCTGAAAACTTCTAGGTCCCCCCGCTAGGTGCCCTTTCTCATCCCTTTTTTGGCGGGGAGGGGTCCCCTAATAAGAATCAACTACAGAAAAAAGTTGGTACCCTTATTCTAACCTCTCTACTGGAGGACCTAGTCCGAAGATCTCCAACTGAGCCAGGTGCTCAAAACCGAAACCGAACCCCGGGTGTACGAAAAACAACAAATCCGGGATGCTCCCCTGGCCGTAAAAAAAGTCGCTCGCGGAGATCTTCAAGCCTTAAGTGCTTGAAACATGGGGATCGCGTGTCTAAATACCGATCGAAGTTTTGATTCTCGACTTTGCTTTTTGAAAAGGGGGCCTGGCTAAGGAGCTACTAGGAGTTCTGGTTAGGGACATCGGTTAAAGTTCTGGTTGATCAGTAGGGGTGGCCCCCTTTTAGCAAGGATTCAGACCACTCTTGGAGGGAACACCCGCCCCGGATCCTAATAATAGGACGGGTTTATGAATCCGGGGCCCGGGGCCGAGAACCTGGTTCGCGATCCCAAGAGGGGCTCGGAGTTCCCTACATGAGGTCAAATCAGATTCGGTCAAACTTTCTCGCGGTCTATGTTTTCTTCCGGGGGGGGACAGGGCACTCACGAAATGTCTCACCAACATCCGGGAGACACTACTGTTCGGATGTTCCCTTCGGAGAGGAAGTAAGTTTTATTGTGGCTAACATGAATCCAAAAGCTTGGGCAGCTGTTTGAATGGAGAGATTTCGAGTCTAGTACAGGAGACTTTGGCTGCCACAGACCGAACCGGCAAATTAAATTGCTTTCTTGGTTGGTAAATTCTTCCAATTTCCCCCCGGATGCTTCTCGACCCCCTGATTTGGAAGCGCTCACGGAAAATGGGGCCAAGAACAGAGGCAGCTGCTTCACTTCAGCGGGGGGTTACTTGCAAAGGACAGGGTGATACTGTGGGTGGACAAAATCCTACAATGGGAAGCCATTGTTTGTTGGAATTTACACGGGAATCATCATTTCAGGCTTTCTTAGGTGGTGCAGGATTTCGTCCATCCTCAGTATGGGACGTTTTCTCAAAATAGGTCCCTCAGCATGGTGGGTTTACCAACATGGTCGGTGTCGCTATGGTTTCTCTTTGCCCACCGAGGGGTTTCACCATCCCTATCCAAGTTCGGACCCTGGGATGTGTCCTTGGGATTGAGGGTTTTGCGGGCTGGGCAGAAAAGTTTTTGATTCTTCAGGCCCGTAGTTAAATCATGTCAGCTGCTCTTATTGGACTGGGAAAACATCCCAGGCGGCGGAGGCTTTTACTTTGTTTTGTTGGCTGGATTAATCTGGAGGAACATACAGATCCAAGAAATGCCCCCAAAAGTGAATGAATTCCGACACTAAAAATGGACTCCTGCAATTCGTATAGTCCAGAGCGACCCTCAATCGACACGTTCAGATCAGCAGTTTCTCGGACCTGCCACGGCATTCTACAAGATCTTGCTGCTGAGGGATTGAGGAAATCACCCCTATAAATTATCCAACTGGTGGTTTCCTTCAAGGGAATCCCAAAACGGTTCATTCCCATCAAAGGGGGTCACTTGAGAGAGCCGTTCCATCGAAGCAAAACCCGCGCAGGACGTCGAAGAATGACGCTTTTGCTCGCTTGAGCGCCGGCGAGTGAGAAACAGGGGTCAGGTGCCTTTGCACCTGGGGGTTGACCAAGATTCCCTTCGGCCCCCCATGGTCTTCCATGGGTGAGTTTTCCCTTTTGGTGGAAAGTATACTACGCCATACTACGCTGTTGTAGTGGCTATTAACAGCATCGGGAACGACCGATAGCCTTCCCCTGTTCGCTTTCCCATGAGAATGAACTTTGCCTGCATGTGCATTCAACTTATGAGCCTCGACATATCAAGGTCAGTCAACGTGCAGTACCGCATGACGCTTTGGTTTGAGGACAAGCATGTCTCTCAAACATGTTATTCCTGCAAGTTTCGCTGCACTTGATTTCGGGCTCTCGGCTCAAGCACAGAGTCCCCACTGGGTTTGGGTGCTGGCGAAAAAGGCGGGCGGGCTGCGTCACGTTCCCGACCGTCACGATCAACTGCAAACGCCGCTCGAACAGAAATCCACATCGCTCTGCACAGGTATGCAGAAATGATTCCCATTATGACTGCATGCTTGACACACAACAAAGATGAACACAAGCTTGGGCATGAACACGCACGCATACACAAGTCAACACGCAATTCTGCAAACTCAAACCACACAATTGCCAAAACAATCAAAACACACCCCAACAACAAGAAGCCACAACCACACACACACAAACGCAGAGACAATGACACACACACACACACAACACAGACAACCCACACACACACACATACACAAAAACACAAACAACACGCGCAAGCGCAAGCACAAGGGTACCTGCAAAAGCAAATACCAACGACCAACACATAGAAAATCCACATGCAAAGAGAAACACAGACGCAAACCGAAGCGCAAACGCGAGACACGCGAACACAACCGCCAACACCACCCATCAATACAAACACAACCACAACCACACACACGCACACACAAGCACAAACACACATACTTTTTTGGGGAAGTATTAGCATCAGCACTTTGGATGAGCAATACTTTGTGAAATACCGCCTGTTCATCGGCACCCTTTCCCTTTCTTGTTTGGTGCGCCACTTGCTTGTTTTTTGTTTTTTTTGAAGGGAAGCCAAAAGGATGCCAACCAATCAGCTTTCCCTTATTTGGTGGTTTGGATTGGCGGTTTGGTGGTGAATGGGGTTGGTTTCCCATTTACCCTGCAAGAACCGGGGTTCAAATCCATATGGCTGTGGGTCAAAACCAATGGTACCATTTTGGGGTAGGTGCACCCCATTTTAGTCTATTTTAGTGGGGATTGGGATGTTCACTGGGGGTACCCATGGCCATATCCAAACCACCAACACCACCAACTAAGCATGTGGCTGTTCCCCCCAAAATGGGTTGCCCAAGTGTTTGAACCACACCCTTTCCTCTCTTTTTTTTGTTTGGGTGGCCCAAAATACATCAATGCTACCCGCACTTTGTGGGTCTTTCGGAGTCCCCGGAAGCGGCGAGGCCGGAAACCGCGCCCAATGGCGGAGGCCGGAAAACGAAACCGCCCGCGAATCGCCTGCGGCTTGCTGTGAATCTGGTTGCTGAGGGTCAAGAGGTATATCTTCCAACCATAGAGGTGGCTCTCTGTTTTTGAGGGAACCCTTCTTGGGGCTTGCAGGAAGCCAGCCATTCTGGGAATTCTCCCAAATTGAGACAAACCCATGGAGCTATTTGGCTGTGGTTGTCAAAACCAATGGTATACCGTTTTGGGATGGGTGAATGCACCACCCATTTTAGGACCTATTTTAGTGGTTGGATTGAATCGGATGTTCACTGGGGGTACGATTTGGATTTTGACCCATGGCCATATGGGTGTGGGTCAAAATGAAGCCACCAGGAAATGGACCGCAGGGTTTAGTCTTCTTTCCATCTACCGGCGCAAGCCGTTTCGGCTACCCATGTTTGACCCACACCCAAGTATCAATGCATCCCATTGGTTGCACTCCTCATGGAACTGCGACTCTTGCGGATCTGTGCCCAATTTGCCCCCTTTCTTTGAAGGGGATTCCCTTGAACGTCCAGTACCAAGCAAAAGCTCCCCCCACTGGTGGCTTCGAGCCCGGTGGGTTTGGATTGGACCCAGCTGAGATCCAAACCATGGGGGAAGTTGAGTGTAGGGCCCTTTATGGAGCCATGGGCCCAAACGAAAACCGCCCGAAGAGACGGGGGCGTGCGATCTTCTATTTTTGTTCCTCGTGTTTTTCTTTTTTTCTTTTTTCCCCGGCGAAACACCAAGGTGTTTGAATGGGCTTGCAGTCAAGGGTGCGAATGCTTTACCCTCCTGATGGAGGTTGCGTGATTTTACCCCTTTTTTGGGGCAGGGTTCCCCTACTAAAATAGACTACAGAAAAAAGTTGGGACCCTTATTCTAACCTCTCTACTGGAGGACCTAGAATGTGTGTGTGTGTGTGTTGCACTAGCAGATCGCAAGATGAAGTCGCCAAACGCAGCCTTTGCAACTGAGCCAGGAACTGTTTGCGACTGTGCCGCAAGGCAGACAAGTTGTGGGTCATGGCAACGCAGCCCCCAGGCCTTCTCCGAGTCTGCTTTGTTTTTGCATGTCCACATCCCTGCTTCCCCAGTATCCATGCTTGTATTTGTTTGTCTGCAGATCCAGTTGCCCAATGGGTGAGGCGTTAGCTCCAATGTGGAGCACAAACTTTGGAGGCTCTTGAAATGCCTGATACTCCAAATCATAGGTGTCCTTTTTGGTTGTTTTGGTCGAAAAATCGATGGCACTGGTTTACCTGGTGGTTTAATCATCTACCAGGGCCATCTATTTCCCCCAAAAGGACACCTATGCTCCAAATACTTGCCCGTCAAAGCCGATGCTTCCTTGAGCCTTGAACGTCCACGTGTCAAATCGAACTCCTTGGGCTCGACCTTCTAGGAAGTACCATGCTTTCAAGGGGTTCTAGGGGTACCTTCCCCATTCTTTCCCCTTTCCAGAAAACCTCAAGAAACCCAGGGACCATGGCCGGTCTTTGAAACAAACGATGGTTAGCACGAATGGACTTGGGGAATCATCCCCCAGAAACCAGACCCAGAAGTACACCTTTGACTTCACTCTGCCTCCAAACTTCTCCCAGAAGCCATGCTCCAAGCAAAATCGCCTGGAGGCCCCGGCGGCTTTTTCTCTTGACTGCTATTGGGCAACGGATCTTTAGACTTTAACTTTTTGGGAAATCAAGTTGGGTTTTCCACTAAGCCCCCCCAAAAGTTACACTTTTTGCCGGGGGGTCAACAGCAACCAAGTTTTTTTGGTTTCCCCCCAAGCCGCTTGTCTCGCGCGAGCCGCGAGCCGGTTTGCCTACTTGTGCTGGACAGGGCGATGCCTCTCCGGAGGCGGGGAAGGTTGGAAGGCCGACGTGGAGTTATGCTTTGGATTTCAAAGCCCGGCCAAGTGCATTTTGAGGATGGACCCCTTGTTGGATGGTTTCAAAGACCCAGAGGGTCCCTTGGTAGCTTTGGTTGGATGGTTTCATGAAACCCGGCCAAGTGGATTTTGAGGAGGTACTTAGACCCATGGACCCCTTGTTGGATGGTTTTAGAAACCCAGAGGGTCCCTTGGTACCTTTTGAGGAGGTACTTAGACTGAGGAATCGGTCCCCAATTTTGAGCCAGCCGGGAATGGGCCAAAATGAAACCACCAGGATATGGACCGCAGGTTTTGGGAACCATGGCTCCATTTAGCATGGCAAGCCACCCACTGCCAAGTGGTTATTTTATTTACTATTAAATTAAAGAGGGAACCCCCTCAAAAGTGGCTGGTGGACATAACCATCCCCATGTGAAGGATGTCCACCAACGGGTCCCCAAATAAACACTTCACACCTTTCATTTTTGGCGGGCTGCAAAAAGCAAACAACGTTTGTTGCTACCATACCAAGGGTTGTAAAGATAAGCTAAGGGACTCCGTGATGCACCAATCGAGGCTGGGGGTTCCCACGCTGCAAAATTGGCAACATATGGGTTTTCACGTTTTCCATGGTGATATTCCGGTCCCTTCTGAGGGGGTTGTCAGCCGGGTGTCTCCGCCCACGTGCAAAAAAAGGAAGCCGCATGCCATGGACAGCCGTCCTTTTCGTGCCCACAAGAAACGTCTAAGGGAGCTTTCCCTTTAATCATGGGCCTTGGGGAGGGAGGGGGGGGGGAGCCCAAATTGCTCGTAGCTCTTATTACCTCCCTCCCGCAGGCCCCATGATTTAACATCTTGGGGGATGCCGGTGTTTTCCCCAGCGTCGCCGATTTGGGTTCGGCTGCAATCAATTGAGCCCCAATCAAAACCGGGTAGATGAAGGGTAGCAAGGGATCGTCCTAAACATAAATGGGTGCAGACGCCTTTTTAATTCTTTACATGGTTCTGGGCAACCCGTTTTAATACCAGGTTTTGATTATGACACAAATGGGGACACCCGTAAGATGGTTTGTCTTCGATTCGGATTGCAAAACCACTAGGAACCGCTCCTTAAAAACGGCAAGCGGGGGTTGCTTGCAATACCCAGGCGCCACGGATTTAGATTTGGGCGTGCTGTTACGTTTTTTGGTGCCCTTTGCGGGGTTGGCGAAAGGAACATCAAAAGGGGACCACCCAACTTCCCCAGAATTAGCTCCCCTTTTTCCTTTTTTGATCTTTTTTGGGGTCCTTGTTTTGTTTTCCACTCACCAGGCAAAAAAGCCATTTTTTTGGTGGTCCCCATTGTAGTTCTGGAGAGACACATTTTCTTTTGTTGGTTTAAGATCCACGTAGTCAAGACTCAAGGTATGTCCAGGGCCCGGTCATTCCATTTCTCGTTCCCTGCCTATCGCACCAGCAAGTTACTGATGGGGGTGCCAAAATTTGGAGGGGCCCCCACCCCACATCAAAATAAGCAGGGGTTTATTCATCCGGGGTTCAGTTTATTGCTAGGGGGTCCCCTGTTTTGTTTGTTCGTCCAATTTTCGCTTTACTTGGCCTCGCTCGGGTGTGTTGCCCTCTGGAGAACTGGGCGCAACATCCCCACCCGCGCAAAAATGGAATTGGGGGGGGG